TGGAGCTCTTTCTCAAAAATCGCCCTGAAGCGGCGAGGAATCGAACCCTCCCCCCACATGTCTGGAAGTGATGTGTCACCACTAGACCACCGACCCTTGTGTTCCATGTTCAGCCTAGCAGCACATCCACCGCGTATCTGCCTTTTAAGGCAAAATACACCTTTCCTTTTTTCTCTTCATAGTGGTTCCTTGGCCGGCTTTTCGCGGGTTTTTCGTGACAACGCCAAAAAAAATTTCGCGAAATGATCACCAAAACCAAACCTAAGAATACCAACACAGAATCCTCAATTTTACTAAAGTGCAGTAGCATACCATCTGAATCTATATAGGCCCTCCTCCGTTCTGCGTTGGTTGTCATGTTTCATTCAACATGTTAGCCGTGGCATTGAAAATGCGCTGCTATCTATCAAACTTAAAGGATAAAACTCTTTTCGCAGTTAACATTGTATAAGCGATATTGCGTATCCCACTGAGTAACACGCACCAGTGGCAACCACCAGCTGTTCATGAATCACTCCCCTTGAGAGTCAATTAAAAATCTCTTATAGCATGGCCCATTATCACTATTTTACCACCGAAACGATGAAAATTTAACCGCAAATAAATTGGGTGTTCCACTAACTTTCGCATGACAGCACTACTACTTATCAATAAACAATGCCTGCCTTTTGTCACCAGTTCTTTATTATTTCCAAAACTCTTACCTTTGAAGGTACTCTGCGAAGCTGGTGATGGTTTTTCGGTGTTGAAAATTTCGCTCGCAGATGCTGATAATTTGTTATCAGTGAAAAGCAAATTTCGCAGAAATCGACATCTGTCACGAATATCGTAACTCTGATCAAATCGTGCCAATTGCATCACATATTGCACAAGCAGTTCACAATCACTGCGATTTGTGATCCATAATTTAGCAGCCAAATTCATTGTTTGCAGCTTTACCATCTCATTTTCATGCGTAAAAGTCTTAGCCATTATGCGCAGAACATCCGGTGCGAGTAGTGGTACCTGAAATTTCAACAGAAAAA